TCAGTAAGTACAATTGTTCTCAGCACTGAAAAGATGATGTTGTACCTGTCTGTCATGTGTCTGTTGCATATGTACTTGCTGAAAGTATTTATTATAGAAAACAGATGACAATCCTGATTCAGCACTAGTGCTCTAGAACAGACATGAATTCAAATCCTGAGTAGAATGTAAAGAATATCTACAAATTCACTTATCCTTGAGAAGAAATGGTAACCTGGACAATCAAGTCATCCTATCCCACATAACTTTCCTGGAAGAACTTTCAGAACTTTCTTCAAAGAGAAATTGTTTGCACAAAAAACATGTGTAGATCCCTTGTCTCCCTTCCACCAGGAAAAAAAAAATAGACTTCAGATAACTGTGAGACTAATATCAAGGGCTGTAGCTAGAAGAGGTGGAACTGAAAACTTGCAAAATATCTCTGTCTCCCTTATAACAACTACTTTAGTCACAAGTCTATGATTCATGTAACTTTTTATTGATCTTTTGGAGTACCGTATGGCTGGGGCCTCATTCACACGACAGGTGTGATTCCATGGTTTCTTCCTATGGTGTCCTGGGATTTGCAGTTTAAGGGAGGGACATTTAGAATTCTTAGTCAGAGAACTTCTCTGGTACATCAACAAACAACAATTCCCAGGATTCCATGGAACCATGCCATAATAATAGTGGTATTACTGTGTAGAGTGAATGGGTTCTGGGTGTTCATCCTCCCCAATTGCAAATGTTTTTGTCTCTTTTTTTCTTTCATCTGCCCCCCAACAAAAGGCATAAATGCTGCATAAATAAATAAATAGTTGTGATTGTGAAAGTTTTCTATAAAAAGTTAACATGCTTAAAAATAATGAATCTCAGTGGCACTGGGCTATAACTCATTTTGCTCCTTTTATTCTGCAAATCTTCTGGGATTGACTCTGGTGGTAGTTCATAATGATGCACTTCATGGGGAAACAGTTGCTGGTGTTCACCTGTTTTCTTACCCAACCAGAGGCCAGGAGAAATTCCTCAGTTTAGCAAATAAACTTAAGCCATTATTAGAAATGACAGGGGAACCTGATGAAATTGTACTTTCAATTGGAAAACAAAATTGCAATCAAGCCGACATGATTTCCTGGTGGTCGGACCACACTAATGCCGAATGGTGAAACATGGGCAAATGTATTTAAAAGTCATAATGGTGCATTACCCATGCAGCCTTCTCCTTTTACTGGCCCTTATTAATATAAAAACTTCAATTTGCATGTAAATGTGGTCAACTTTCATATCATCAAAATACATGAGGCCCAGGAAAGTAATGAATTGAAGTTTGATGCAGCAATTACTGACGTTTATAAAGAATTTTAAAGAGGTCATTCTAGCCTGGGTTGAGAAAATGAGGAAATCAACAGGGAATATTGTCAATATAGCAACAGTGGGGGTGGAAGTCAGTCCCAGGTGTTGGAAGGCCGGATGATGATTAATAGAGAGGGAGTAAGATGACGCTCACCCAGAAGGACTGGGCTGGACCTCAGGCTCAATAACAGAGCTTTCATGAAAAGGTTCTTGCTGGGTTCCCACTCGAACTGCCTTGGAAATGTGATCCAGGGGGAATAAAAGTAGCAAGTGTTTATGAGCAAGAGCTGCGCTGAAGGTTTAATTGGGCTCCACATCCTTTCAGCTCCCTTCAGTACTTGATATGCAGTTTAACCTTTCTCACCCCCCCCATCCTCCCTCTCCTCCAACAGATCCCCCCTTCCCAATCCCCAACCTCTCAAAGTCAATGCTCAAGTGCAGCTGGGATTTTAATAAGGCACACTGGCTTGATGGTGGCTTGACAAAAAAAAAAAAAAAAAAAAAAAGAAGAAGAAGAAGAAGGGGGAGAAGAAGCATCAGCTTAGTTGCTAAATTGAGTTAAACTGCTGCACCACGGTCCTGTAATGATCATTTGTAAATGCTGCCTCATCTCCCACCTCCTTCCAAAAACATACACCCAGAGACAATTGAAACATTTATATGATATGTGAAGACTTATAAAAATGGTACTTGAAGACTTAACTCATCTGTAAAATCTGACCATGACTCAGTGATGGGCACTATTCTGATGCTAGACATTTGTAATATACACATACATACTCAATTATTATTAATATAAATCTTTTAAAAACATATCATACATACTGTGTGGATGGTTGTTGTTTTTGTTTTTAAAAAAGAAAAGATTCATATTAATAATAATAGTTAAGTTTCAGAATGGTCAAAGTACTTCACAGTCATTTTCTTAAAAGTCCTTAAACAACCCTATAATAATAAAGCACTGAATAGCAGAGACCCTAGTTTCCTCGGGCAAATGCCACATCATGGCACAATCAAGGTTAAGGGGGGTTGCAGACTGCCAGAAATAGTGCAAATTGAGTCCACTTTTAGGGTTAGGCTTAGGGAATCATGGGAACTGTATTTTATTGTAGCACCAGAGATCTTTGACAGAGAAGGCTCAATGTCTCAGAAAAAAAATTCCCATGGTTCCCTAGCACTAACCCTAACCCTAAAAGTGGACTCAATTTGCACTATTTCTGGCAGTCTGCAACCCCCCTAAGAACAGAGATCCAGGCCTGAGCATCAGTACACAACAACCTCAGTTTCATTCTGTTACAGGTTGGAACCACCATCTTAATTTCCTACCACATTCCCAACAAAATGCTTCTTAAAAATACAATGAGAAATTGGAATGGTGCCTCCAAACCACCCCTAATTGTGTTGATATTCCTCCCAAGGCCCATAAATTCAAGAGTGGGCTTATCTAAGGCACCCTCAAACCTAGACCCATCCTAAAGTTAAGCTTCATGAACATAGGGCTTTTGCAGACTGCCAGAAATAGTGCAAATTGAGTCCACTTTAACTGCCTTGACTCAGTGCTAGGGAATCATGGGAATTCCCATAATTCCCTAGCACTGAACCAGGGCAGTTAAAGTGGACTCAATTTGCACTATTTCTAGCAGTCTGCAAAGCCCATAGTAAGCCTGTATCTGTTGGTAAAGCTGCATCTGAGGCTTCAGGTTGTGCTGGTAGAGCTCACTTCACTGTACATTTGTTTGCTTTAAAAAATTCTCTATAAATGTCAGGAAAAAGCTTTGTAAAATAAAACATCTCCCTGACACTTAAAATTTCTACATGCAGAGATTTAAAAAAATATTTAAGGAACATTCAGCCATTTAAATTCCCAGGTGCTTTTTGAATTTACTGCCGCCATACAGATTGAATATTTCAGTAAAAACCATCTTACAGCTGATTCCTACACAATTAAAAATAGTACAGATGGGCAAAAAGAGGAGCTTTCAGGCTGACTTGGAGGCATGTCATTTAGACAATGCACACCTAAAAGCCGGCAGGAAAGCACCCTCTAGGCACCGCACACTGGGAAAAGACGCTCCAAAAAGGAGCAGCTTTTACTGCTTCTTCCAAAAAGATGCTTTCCATGTGCATATGTATGCAGCAACACTGGTGCTGGAGATTTAAAATGGCCGTATACATGCACCGCTGCATGTGCGGTGGAAATTGAGTCAGCGATCCAGAGCATGTGCCCTATGATGCAGGCTTTAATTTAAAGCTCCCTATGCTTCCAGGTGTGAATGCACTGCTGCAGGTGTTCTTTAATATGAGAACCCTAACCCTAATTGTAACCCTAAGCATGTGCCCTAGCAACTGTTCTCTAATATATCAATAAATGCATTCCATTGCATGTACATTTACTGTCAATATGTACAGTATTTTGCATGAAAGAGGCTTTTGTGACCTCTTCTGCACAGGTGTGCATAAGACCTGCACAGCACTTCCTGGCATGATTGGGGAGGGGGCTCCTGGAGTAATGTTTGTCTGTGTTTCCTGCTGACCATGTCCCTTGCATGACCACCAGCTACATGTATGAAGTCTGTCCACACAAATCTCTCTTGCATGTACCTCCCCCCTCCCCCCTGATCTGTATGGGAAATGTTTTGTGGAAGACAACAGAATAGGTTGACAGACTCGTTCTTCTACACCTAGGGTGACACAATCAGACAGTGGCATCTTTCTATGGCACCCACTACTTGTGAATCCTTGCATTATATGTGGGTGTATGACAGGTGCGCAGCGATGCTGAACATCATTCACCTTTGCACAGACAAAATGACAGACTGTATGCCACCCTATGACATGTTCTGTGCAGGTGCTCAGGGATGCCAAACTTCAGTCACTTTTGTACACAGAGAGTGACAGACTGTATACCAGCCTATGATGTGTTCTGTGCAGGTGCACAGGTTTGTTGGGTGTGTCCCTGCTCACATGTGCATGTGTCTGAGAGAATGAAAAAATATTCAAGCAGCCACTCCCAGCCCATGCGGTTGCTCCTTCTCCCTTTGTGGCATCCTTGGGGCCAGTGGTGCAGTTGGTGGGGCTTCAATATGGCCTCGGAAAAGCTGCACTGACTGCCCTCCATTGCAGTTGCTCCATCCCCTTTTAGGGCATCCTTAGGGCAAGCGGTGTGGTTGCTGCAGCTTAGGGAAAAGGCAGCTTCATGTCACCTTTTCCTGCCTGTCTGTACAGCCCCTTAACGAACATAATTGCCATATTTTTGTCTCTGTACTCCTATGAAAGTGCTTAAAGCCCCTAGTTCACTGTATAATAATATATTCTGTTTAAATATAATTTGTACATATCTGATGTGCATGTCTTGGTTTGGTTGCAAAATCCAGGATAGTAATGGCGGCATGGAAAAACAGAAGCAGAAAAACAGATCTGATAAAAGTTTTCTTCAAATCTTCAGTATGCAGGTAGGAAACTGTTTTTAAATTTTCCTTCTCATCTTAAAACAAACTCCTATACATCTGAAATAAACTTTATTTTAGAAAAGAAAAGAAAAGAAAAGAAAAGAAAAGAAAAGAAAAGAAAAGAAACAGTCTGTAGTAAACATCCTGGAGACCCCCAAGCTCCAATGCTGTCTTGCTAACCAGATGTCTACTTTGGCTCATGATAGCACAATTCAGAGAGCCAGCCTAGTGTAGTGGTTTGAATGTTGGACTATGACTCTGGAATCCAGGGTTCAAATCCCTACTCAGCCATAGAAACTCACTGGGTGATCTTGAGCAAGTCACATTATCTCAGCCTGGGAGGAAGGCAAAGGCAAACCACCCCTAAACAAATCTTATCAAGAAAACCCCACAATGGAATACCCTTAGAGTTAAGTCAGAAATGACTTGAAGGTACAGAACAACAAACCAAAATTCAGTTTGCTCTTTCTCTGTCCCAAGCTTTGAATTTCTCTTGCAATGGCTCCTCTCTATATACCGTATTTTCAGGCGTATAAGATGACTGGGTGTATAAGATGACCCCCCACTTTTCCAGTTAAAATATAGAGTTTGGGAAGAGTATGACTTCCAAAACTGTTATTGTTGTTGCTGTGACCTTCAAGTCATTTCCAACTGATGATGACACTAAGGCAAACCTATAATGAACCTCCTTATACCCGGCATATAAGATGACCCCCCCCCCCACTTTAACCCCAGATTTTGCAGGTTAAAAGTAGTCTTATATGCCAGAAAATAAGCTATGTATTTTAATTTTGTTAGTAAAGGACCAGGAGAGAAAACTGCTTTTATGCCCAACCAGGAACCAGATGTCAAGGATGAGAGGTCAAAGACTTATTTTATATGGATGAGGGAGCTACAACTTTTAACTTGTGTCAGGAGGAGCCCATAGTGGAATTTACATAGTCAAGCCCATAGTGGAATTTACATTCTTTTCTTCTGACTTAGCAATGGTAACATTCAGAATTTCAAAAGGAGTGGTGAGTATTTAAGGAAGGAAGAGAATTTAGACTGAATGGAGAACCAATGAAATAGATAAAAGCAAGAGAGGAGCCCACAGGCTTCTTGGATCCCACACATGTCCCTGAAGCTGTCTCCACATGGGCCAAATAAAACATCCTCCTCCACTCCCATCCTCATGGCGATGAGCCCAGTTGATGCAGGGCCCAATCCCTAATTCTGTTTCAGGCTGTTCTGATGACATACAGCCAGTTCAACACCAAACCAACAGTATGCCATCTTTAAAATGAATTGTAAAAACTCACCTTTTGCTCCAGATCTTCCCAGGAAAATCGAGAACCCTCCAGAGTGACACCTGGTGCCTGTTTACAATGCATCCCACTTGCTGCCCACTGCCACCACCACTGGCACAAGTAGTTCCCCCTGAGGTCATAATGAGGTGCCCAGTCGATTGATGCTGAGAATTTCATTTTTGACCTCAGAGGGAATGACCTGTACCATCACTCATGGCAGCAGTAAGCAAAATGGGGCACATGTGCAAATGGCTGCTGGCATTTTCCAGAGTACCTCAGTGACGGGAGATGTTGAAGAAGCTTCAGGGAGAGAATACTCTGGGCTGCTCCTGGAGTATTCTGGCCCTTGCAGACATGGCCCGAATAACATTACAGCAGCATCCTTTTCCATTTCATGTTTCTGTGCCACATACTTTGAAAGGGCCAATAAACCCTATTTCCCTTTCCAAACCTAGGGAATGGCTTAATTACACTAAAAATCCTGTTTGCATGTTAAATAATAAGAAAATATTTGTTTTGATTTTTCCTCTTTGATCATTAGGACACTGGGAGTGATCCCATGGTCAGGAATACTAAAGGAGAAGGGAGTTCAGGATGGATGGGAGTTTCTCAAAAGGGAGATACTGAAGGCAGAATTCCAAACTATTCTACTGAGAAGGGAAAATGGGAGATGTCTCAAGAAACTGGGTTGGATGACAAAAGAACTTTCAACTGAACTATGGGGGATTGCAGACTGCCAGAAATAGTGCAAATTGAGTCCACTTTTAGGGTTAAGGCTAGGGTTAGAAAATCATGGGAACTGTATTTTATTGTAGCACCAGAGCTTTCTGACAGAGAAGGCTCAATGTCTCAGGAAAAAAAAATCCCATGATTCCCTAGCACTAACCCTAACCCTAAAAGTGGACTCAAATTGCACTATTTCTGGCAGTCTGCAACCTCCCTAAGTTTTAAATGGGAGATGAATAAGAAATGAAAAAGGGGTGAAATCACTAAAAAGGAATTCAAACAAA